GTTTCTTCCTTCAGAGGGAAAGCAGTGATATTTAGTCTGAGAGGACTATAAGTGAAACTCTGACCCTCCCCTTAACTCCCCCCTCTGTCCCTCTCTAACAGGCTGGCAGGAGGAGGAAGAGGCAGAGGAGGGGAAGCAGAGACCCTGAGGAGCCCCCGCAGAGACGACTCCGTGAGGGAAGCCCCAGCCCACTGCCCTCCACCCCCACCCCCCCCACAGGCCATGCTGGAGGACGTCCGGCTGAAGGTGAGTCCTCCAGATGTTTACACCAGTTTGGTGTTTCTGTTAAAAAGACTCTGCTGTGGATCCATGGTCACCGTACACATGTATCCCAAACCACTACGATACGATACAATAATACTTTAAAATTGTACTTGCATCACAGCAGCTCCATGTGTAACATCAACATAGACACATATCAAGACACAATACATGAAAAACAAACAACAGACATTTAACATAACAGCACAATCACTGAGAGAAAACATGTTCAAAGACCCTTTAGCGTGCTTTGATCTGGGATTTAGCTCTGGTTTACATCTGTCTGACCTCTCTCTCTCTCTCCTCTCTCTCTCTCTATCTCTCTCTCTCTCTCTCTCTCTCTCTCTCTCTCTCTCTCTCTCTCTCTCTCTCTCTCTCTCTCTCTCTCTCTCTCTCTCTCTCTCTCTCTCTCTCTCTCTCCTCTGTGTCCTAAAGGTTCAGGAGACCCAGCCAGGACCCCTCCCGGAGCCTGAGGGGGCCACGACCCTGGCCCTCCTGTCCGAGCCCTCTGGCCTCTCCCCCACTGACTTTGAAGCAGTGTCGGAGAGGATCATGGCCTGGATGTCTCACACTATATACAGCCGGGAGCTGTGAGCGTCCTCCAGGAGACAGGGCCTGGTGCCCCCCTGCTGAGACAGTAACACACACACACACACACACACACACACACACACACACACACACACACACACACACACACACACACACACACACACACACACACACACACACACACACACCTTGTATTACTCTTTAGTTAGTAGATAACTTTTAAGCACTTGTATATAATGTAGTTAAGTTAAGACTCTTTACGTTTTTAGATAAGTATTTCATGTTTCAGTATGTTGATAAGTTTTACATTTTGAATTGTTCATTTGTTTGTGGGTACGTTTTAAGTATTGCATTGTTTAGTGTGTTGATAAGTTGTAACATGTTTTATTCCTTTACGTTTGAACTGTTGCAGTTCCTGCAGTGTTGGTGAGGATCATGGCCTGGATGTCTGACCCTCCCTTCAACACACAGACACACACACACTCACACTCATACACACACAAACATATGTTATTACTTTTTAGTTTTTTGATTTGTTTCAAGCACTTATGATAGAATGTAGTTAAGATAAGACTCTGTAAAGATTTTAGATAAGTATTTCATGTCTTAGTATGTTGATACGTTTTAATTGGTTATAGGTTTATGGATACTTTTTAAGTATTGTATTGTTTAGTGTTGATAAGTTGTAACTGTTGCAGTGCTGGAGATGATCGTGGCCTGGATGTCTGACCCTCCCTTCAACTGGGAGATGTTAGCGTCCTGCAGGAGAGAGTGCTGCACTGCTGAGACAGGATCACACACACACACACACACACACACACACACACACGGAAATTATACTTTTAAATCTAGTGATGTTTTTATTATGTCATAAAACAATCATAGCATAGATTGTCATTAAAAAACATAATATAGTAATTTAAAAAAAGTCTTAATTAATCTAAATGTATTATTAAGTATCATAACAATACCACAGTATGTCTTCAAATCATTGATAATTATAGTCTGTCTTGAAAAAATTCATCTAGAATAACTATTAACTCTATTTAATATAATGTCTTCATGACAGAGTAAAGGGCTTTAGGAGGCATAGAACTCCTTGAAGCCTTTTTCCTCTTTGCAAATTTCCCAACATTCCACCATGTGGATTTTTCACCTGACAATATCAGTATATTAAACTGAGTTAAAACATGTATAAGAAGATGTATGCAACTTCAGCCACTAGAGGTCAGGAGCGCACAACAGAGAATATAGTCATAAAAAAACATAGTGAAGTTATTGATAAAGAAAAGTATAGTATAGTAAGTCAAAAAAAGGCTATACAATAAATATAGTAATTTAAAAAAATATATATATATATAGAATGTCATAACATTTCACAGTACAGAACATCTTGTTAAAACATTGTTAATATAGTTAAAAACATATCAAATAATATATATTTAAAAGATCTTAGTAAAGTATGTCAAATAAAATAACTGGTACTATGGTATTTCATATATAAATATCAGTATGTCACGAAAAATACATAATAATATATCTTGTAAAAATTCAATGCATGCTATCTAAAAACATGATTAACATGATTTATAACAGTATGCCATAGAACTGTCATAATATAGTATGTCATAACACATAAACTCACTAAAAAGTCATAGCATAGAATGCCGATTAAATAACTTATTATAAAGTATGTCATAAAAAGTGCTAGTATAGTATCCTATAAATAAAGTTATTACAGTATGTCATTTAAAATTAATATTATGTCATATAATGTCAATTCAGGCCATTATGACAGCTCTGCCTAACCTCTGATATCAGGACTGCTTTTGTCACTATTCTCCATTTGTCTTCGAAGGCGTCATAGGAGCTGCCAGATTCAGAGCACCTGGTCTGGAGTCTCAGAGGAAAACACTGCAGAGTTCACCTGCTCTCTGCTGTCTCCTGGATCATCCCTGCCAGCGGCTGCACATTTTGGCCTTCTTTGTTCTTACTACATACTTTACATTTTTTTTACAATAAATACCTTAAATGTACTTCTGTTGTGGGCCTTCTCATATTTGCCATGACCTGTGAGCTGTTTTTTTACGCTTTAAAAAGTTATCATACAGTATACTATAATTCCTTTATTACATAAAATAATGGCAGTGTTGATAAGGTGGAAAAAAGTGACGTTTTTTATCACTCTTTAGGCTCAATTTGGACCGTGTCATTTTTTTTCACTTTTTCAAATCTGCCGTATCTGTGTTTCACTTTCCAGGATAGGTCCTGACCTCTTTTTTCTAAGTATTATTATAATTGCATGGCTTTGTCTTAACATATCCTGATATGGACAGCTGAAATAATTTTCTGAATGAAAAGATTGAGTGCCTATTATAACATTCCAATATGAACAACAGGAAGCAAATATTTGGATGGAATATTGCCAAAGGGTTAGCCATGGTTAGACCTTCGTTAGGACCTCATATTCGTATTCATATTATGTACAAACTCTAAAGTCCACTGAGACAAATGTTACATTTGTGATATTGGGCTATATAAATATTGATTGATTAACTTTTATTTCAAATAATTAACATAGACATATTTATTACAACACACAACATTATTTGTTTCATCATTGCATTAAATAGTATTTCATCAAAAGTAATTGATCATTTAATGTCAAAATAATGATGATGATATAATATTTCATAACAAATAATTGTTAACACACTTTGTCATAAGTTATAGTAAACATGTCCTAAAAATGATAATATAGTAGTAGGTCATGAAAAAGTAAACTATAGTCTCATAAAAACATTCTTGATAGTATGACATGTCATAATTATATTCTTAATATAGTGGAAGAAAACGTAGTAATACAGTCCCTCATAAAAAAAGTTATTGTTCCCTGCCTGAGTCTGATAAAAAGTATGCTTCTCTCTGTTACCATGTTCCGTTTGTCCTTGAAGGTATCACAGAAACAGCCAGATGTAAAGCACCTGGTCATAAACAGTCTCTTTCCTCCTGGACTCCTCCCCATCAGCAACTGTCAATGTATAATAATATAATAACTGATGGACCTAATAATTGTATTCCATTTCATTCTTCCAATTCACAACATTTAAGAGGCAGATATCATAGCAATATATTGTGGTAAATGTTATCACTTAGCCTATTTCTATAGACTTACCAATAATCTTGAACTGGCAAAAGAGTGACTTTATGTAAGATTCCTTTGTTTAGAATGTGTGCGTATTTTGCAAAAAGTGCCATGCTGAATTGCAAATTGGGTGCCAAACTGATAATGTTTTTGGTTGTTTAAAAGCTTGAGCTGAGGTTTACTACATCAGTGTCAGTTTCAATAATTGTGCTTTATATTCCATGTCTCAGCAATTAGAAAAAAAGTAATTTTGTGATCAAAAAAAATATCCTTTAAAACTGGCGAGCATTTCGTTAAGTTAAACTTTTTATATATCTGGACTGGACACACACTGACTCTTCCTATGGATTGGTTAAACATAAACATAAAATAACTTTTAATCATTTATATTCAGGTTTTCACTCCCACGGTGGAGCTTTTACAATCTTTTCAGAGCCCACACACAAGCCACAGCCCTGACGTTACCGTAGCAACGGCCCGCTGAGTAGGGGGACGCTTGAAGCGACTTGTGATTGGTCAGATCAGGCTCTTATTCGACCCTAATCCGCCCTCTGATTTGTCAGATCTACAGTCACTTTTACAAGACGAAACGTGGTTGGCTTGTTTCTTCATTTGCGGCCCGCCTCTGTGAATAAGCTCTTGCAGCTGCACACAAGTCAGAAAAAAAGCGAGCGGAGGAGGTGCTAGCATAATATAATGAGTTGAAGCTGGGTTGTTTTGAGGAGTAAAAAGTAGTTTTGTTCACTATACTCTTGGCTGAACATTGGAGCTCTGTGTTTACTTGGAAATATATAAAGTTGGGAGAAATGTAGGGAATCTTTGACCGACTTTTTCGTTGCTTCACGATGGAGGAACCTGCGACAAGGCAAGTAGTAAAACCGTAACTCGTTAGCTTACTAAACGTTTTCTGTTAAAAAATATTGACGTTGAAACTGTGTATTCCATTATCTTTAGCGTCTTGTTTTAAATGAAGTGTGATGTAGACCAAGTCTGTTGAAATAGTGACAGTTTTGAGTAAAATTATAATAGCATTACTCTCCACAGAGAGTTGGAGATGTCGCTGTCAGACGGTACCTCGGACGACGAAATGCCCTTAAGTTTACCCGCAGAGGGCAGCGGGCACAGCGGGAGCATCCGAAAGGTGAGACACCTACACACACATTAGGCATGTGGTATGTGAGCAGTGGTGTTAAGTCACTAAGTACATTTACCCAGGTACTGTACACATTTGAGGTATTTGTACTTGAGTATTTCCATGTTATGCTACTTTGTACTTCTACTCATTCAGAGGTTAACATTGTACTTTTGCTCCACTACATTTATGTAGTACCTTTAGTTACTTTGCAGATATAGATTCATAATAAACAATGGGATCAACACTTAAAAAAGAAAACTGTAAACTGTAAACCCTCCATCTTTTATTTTCTCTCTTTTTCTGTCATAGACACATCTTGTACTTGAGAAAAATTAGAAATACCAAAGTGTAGGAATAGTCTGTTATAAGTAAAAGTCTTGTATTCAAAATGTTACTCAGTACAAAAGTATTGGCATCTAAATATACTTAAAGTACCAAAAGTAGAAGTACTCGCCCCATACAGATTGGTCCATTTCGAAACCATATATGTTATATGTTGTCATTATAACCATTGATGTATTAATGTGTTTGTAGAGCTTGTAAATGTGCAACACATTTAAATTATTTGATGTACTGCTGGGTGGCATGTGAAGGTGTAACTAAAGTCTTAATTAAGTGTTGATTATATATATTTTTGTATCATTAATCCACATATGTAAAGTAACTAAAGGTACAATGTTAACTTCTAAATTGTAATGGAATATAATAACAAATTAGAATAAAATGGAAATACTCAAGTAAAGTACAAGTAACCCCTCAGAATTGTACTAAAGTACAGTACTTGAGTAAATCTACTTAGTTACTTTACACCTCTGTAATCAAGTTAAATGAGATCAACAAGAAAATATGAATGAGGAAATCCTCAGGAAAGCCGTGATAAAAGAGCAATATGTTCGTACCCCACATCATGATGATAAATTAAATACGATTTGATTTAAGCACCAGAAATATAGCTTTACACTTTAGCGTATAAAACTTGTATTTAGTCATTTCTTTGAGCACACCCTTTTATTATCTCAAGATACTTTTAAGTGTAGGCACCAGCATTCGCACAAACACTGATATCAGGTATATCAGGCAATCTGCATTCCCACGGTAGCCTACATCTAACCCCTTGTTTGAATGGGTCAAATATAACTGAAAAGGCACTCCCCCTGCTTCGGCACAGCTGAAAATATTCGTCGACTAAAGGCTGAATTGCTTGACAGAAAAATCATATAAGACGTTTTATATAATCGAGTCATTTTCAACCACTCAATATTCAAATGTTCTGCTTTTTCGTTTTCATAATGATATATTAAACATAATTTATTTGGGCTGACAAAACAAGACATTTAAACTTTGGACTTTGAGATACTGGCATGGATCTTTTCACAATTTCCTTTTTAAAAACAAAGCTATTAAAGGAATAATCAAGAAAATGTTTTTCAGATGAATGGATAATGAAACCGTTCAATGCAGCCCTACTTGAGTGGGTAGAAGAGTGTCCATGTTACTGAAAAACATTGTGCAAATTGGCCCATTTCACAGTCCTATATATTATACTGTACTCACCTGGACTGGCAAGGTTTTCAACACAAGCTTTTAGACTTTATCTGCACTGATGTTGAGCAGCCTCCATCCTCCTTGCCTTCGTGATGGTGGAGCAGAAGTGGGAGCCAGAATGGTAATCCACACTGGCACTCTGAGGATTACTTAAAGCGTGCATGCTAAACAAACACCTTAACTGGGTGAGAGGGAACGACAAAGATAAAGAGTGAGCAAATGAGAAACGTCCATATACTGGATACATCTTCTGAGAGAGGATTAGAAGGTGATGTAAGCGACCAGGATGCATTCAGGGAGTATCAGTACGTTCACAGAACAGCTGCTGCATCTGTCATATGATTCTACATCTGTTTACCTTGTAGTGAAACAGTGGTGCATTGTATGATAGATTTTACTGAGCAGACATTTAATAATCAGCTATTTTGGTGTCGCTGGCGTAATGCCTGTTGAAGCGAGATGCCTTTAAATCTTCAGGCAGATATACAGCTCTGACATATAGACACTTTTTTATAGAGTTGTGCAGGGAGGACGTAAGCATCTCCATGGTTCCCTCAACAAAAAGGCAATGGGATTGTTCCATGATTTTGAATTATAGCACAAAATAAGATCTATGGCAAACAGAAATGTATGTTGCTTACACCTGTTATCAGCTGGTGATCTCAACATATTAACACCAGTTGTATCATTGTTGAAGCATCAATACAATTGCCAGAAGCTAACGTTAGGCTATCAACGAACTACAACACGGTCACATGACCACATCACCACCTCTAAATAATGTCTGACTTGTGTTTGGCACAATGATGTTTGATAGTATAATTGTGTCACTTGTTAGCAACCACTGTTTTAATGACTCATACAAGCTTCAGATATTTCTGAGTTAGGTATTTATTGACGTATTTTATGTCGTAGATTAAAACGTTAAAATCTCTTTAGCTTATTTCAGGTAGGTAACAAAAAACTCTTTGAAAAAACGCCTAGCTTCTAGATGCTGACTCATTTACATAATATAAGACTCATTCCTGCACCACTCAATTAACCATTTCATGCTTAAAATAGTCATAGACAGTATGCTGCTGTAATTAATTATTCATAAATTCATCGTCTAACGTCTCTGTATTTCTCTCTCTGTCTGCAGGGATGTGATCCCTTCGCCCAGACTCTCAGGAAACGGGTAGAGACACACATTACAGTTAGTAAGAACTGATTACCAGTCTTGGTCTTCGGCGGTTGATCAACACAGTTCTCAATAACATGTTCAAAGGGCTCACCAAAAGCCGGAAAAGGACGCAACTAAATATTATGCCATTTTGACCCTTGTGTATACTGCATTACGGTATTTGTTGACCACAGCATAGTTTTTACGCTATTAGTTAACATTGATTTCTCTAGCCCTCAATTATACGCTTTTGCAAATTACAAGTGTCTGTGATTCCAGTTTAAAAGACGGGACTGACGAGACCACCATTATTGTTTCATACAGTAAAATACTGTGAATAAATGGTGACTCAGTCGCTGCCTGATTTCTGTTCAAATGTCTCTATTTGTGCCGACCACAGGTACCACCATCCCCCAGAACACCACACACACACACACACACACACACACACACACACACACACACACACACACACACACACACACACACACACACACACACACACACACACACATACCCATGGTTAGTCACCCTTGCTCTCTCTGTCTCCCTCCAACACAGACAGCTCTCTCCACCCTCTGGAGTCAGCCATTAGTCACTGCCGGCTGGCAGCATGAAGTTCTTATTAGATTTATTGATCAGCATGGGGAAAGATTATGGCTCTGTGTTTGTGTGCGAATGTGAGAGAGACAACCTGAGAGCCAATCCACTGTAGCACCCCAACATCTTCATCAAGACTCCAAAACCAAAATCTAATCATTTAAGCTGATGCTGTATGCTGACAACCACAGCGCAAAATGCATCACAAGAGTTCTCCCAAACACTTTTAAATCAATTCAAATTGGGGGAATAAGCAAAATGGTGTTACAGTCAGCACATTAACCATTTATCTTCTTTTTTTAGAGGGAAAGGGGACAGGGCATTCTCGATACGATAATGCTTTATTGTCTGACATTTTTCATGTATCACTGCAGCTCCTTTTGCAAAAACAAGAACAAATAACAAGAAACACAGAAACAGACATTTAAAAAAACATTGCATTCACTGAAGACAACATGTTCAACACCCTCTAATTTGAGGATTGACTGGAGCACAAAATAGTGCATCGTTCTAAACTTTTCAAATCGTGGAATTTCCAGGAATAGAAGAACACGTGCTAAGAAACCCTCTTATTGACAATAGATCTAGGTAAGCTTTACATCCTCTAAAGGCCCTTTAGTTTGTGCTTCTGTAGTTTTATGAGGCTGTGATTATTCTAAAGGTCACGACAGCTCATTGTAAACAACAAGGTCAAGATTCAAAACATGTTGTCACGCCAACAAATGGCTACTCTGCGGACTAACATCATCACACATGAATACAAATGGACTCATTGGATCCACAAGATTTCCAGCTTTTCAATCCTATGTGTTCATTTCTCTTTAGGGACAATTTCAGAACAGGTGAAAATTACAGTATTTGTACTGCCTTCAATAAACGTCATGGTTTTCCCCTATTCTTCCAATCCTGCTCCTGCTATTCCGTCTGCCTCTCTCAGACGCTAACTGCTCACGTCTCTCACAGTCTAAGTACTCCTGGCTGACTTTACCATTTGTGTTCTGTTCACTCATGACTTACCAAAATACAGCACGTCTTAGAAGAGAAAAAAGGTCTGCTGTGTAGGCCTACATCTAATCTACAGCTCCCTCTTTCCATACCTCATCCATCCATCCATCTGTCATCTAGGTCTATTACAGCTCCTCAAAGCCCAGACAGGCCCTTCTTTATGAGAGCAGGCTGTCAGGAGAAAGCCCTCTCAACATGATGGGAAGTACACACAGACGATCAGACGGACGGACTGTTAACTGAGGCAACATTACATTGGTCTGCGCAGTGAAACTGGCCACAGGGGCTTTACTGCAAAAGTAGTTATTTTAAGAAGCCATTAAAAGCAGTGTGTTTAGGTATTTAAATCTTGTTTTTCTTCAGGGTACAGAAACAGAGACCTGTAGGCCTAAGCTAGTTAGGTATGATTGTTTTTTTTCAATGCAAATCAACTTCTTATTTCGATATGCCACAGGGGAAATATGAGTTTTTATTTTTACTTAAAAAGGCTAGAAAATGGAGCCTGAATTAGATAAAATGCATTCTTGTTATTTTTACTCAGTTCCTCTGGGAGACCAGTCGAATGGGGTTCCCAGAGGAACTGAGGAAAAATAATCAAATGCCTTATACAAACAAAGAAACAGCAGAGGCAGGTAATACATTCACATTTACCTCTGGAGCAGAGCTCTCAGAAAAGAGTGCACTTTATGCTTTACACATTGAATACATCTTATTGAGCTATGTTTTTTACCTGTCTTCACTTCAAAAGTCGAATACTGTATGGATCACAGACTAACCATAGACCATACACATTGCCACCTGTATAACAATTAACACAACTTAATATAGTTTTTGTATAGTTTGATAGATAGCCTATACATGTAGGCTGACTCAATGATTTGGAACCTACAACTTTCTCTATAATAAACATGTAGGCTACACAGCATAATCAATCATACTCGGCTAAACACTTCCATCTAGGGGTCAAGTGAAATCATTACATCCTCAATGACCCAGAATAGAACGAAGGTATCAACGATATCTTCTCTTATTATTCATTTTGATATCAAAGTTACTTATTGTTTTGCAAGCAGCACCCACCGAGAAACTGTTCAAAAATAATACGGAAAAGTCTGATCCTAATATTCTTCCAGAACAGCTTATCAATGATGGTGAAATATTTATGTTTCTAAAGTCCAGAATGAAATTTAAACCCCGTCATTTAAGGCAACACAGACGTTGTGTCCGTAATAAATGAAAAAGAGATACCATTTTAAAACGTAATCAAACTTAACTCTTTCCGTATCTCCTCCTCGTTGCAGTCTCTTCATCCTCTCTCCTCAGTTTGACGTCCTTTGACCCAATTTCACCTGCTGTCATTTCAGGTAGGCTACGTTGGTGGCATTAAGTATGGCTAACAGTCATGTAACACACCGTTTAAATGTTTTTTAAAAACTGGTTATGACCAGGGGACGGGGACTGCTTTATCTCAGACACGTAGCCTAGGCCTATCTTCATTAGAAATAAATTGCCAAAATTGCTACACCACGCAACATACTCAGCAAGTGAACTACGTTTTAATGCTAAATATATGTGATGTTTACGTCCTCTCTGTTATGTGTTGAAACTATTGACATAATTAATCAACATTTTACCGACGGAATATCCTCGAAGTTTCTAAAGCATGACAATCCAAAAACAGGTGCATACATTGTGTTTGTACAACAAATTAGTGTTTCAAAACGAGCAGGAAAAACAAAATATTTTAATTGTAATAAATACATGGAAATGTAAATAAGATATCGATACTTAAAGTTTCTAATCAGTCACGTTACGTTGACGCATGACGCAGGTTGCTATGGAGCTACGTACAGTATAGATTTAAAAGCTCGATTCCAAATTCACCATTTCACTCTGAGACTTTGGAGGAGAAGGCTGTTACTCGACGAGTTCCACAAAACTGCTCTCTTTCAAGCTATCACTGAAAAGACGACCCCAAATTAACATAGTAAAACTTTACTAAAAAGTTATCGAGGCAAATGTGAGGATATAACTATTTTTATGTGATTAAATAACTTTTCCGAGCCGCTTTATTCGACGATTTGAGCAGTCAAATCTCCACAGCTCAATGAACTGACTCATGTGAAGGAGCTGGTTCAGTCTTAAAGTAGAACATACTAAATACATTTAATTCCCTTTAAGTTGTTGCTGTAAATAATTTAAATATGAGGACAAAACTATACATTCTGTAAAGATAGCTGCTTTTCAAACACTTAGCTACACTGCTAGCTTGTTTTAGCTCTTGAAAATATCAGTTAGCATATATTGCAACATAGGCAGTTACCTTTTGTAAATATGTTACACTAAACACCAAATTATTGTTTTAAAGACACCATAGAGGTTCATCCTCACATCTTTCTTGATTGTGTAGTCCGTTTTCAATATCGACATTACAAACAATTAAAGAAACTGACATGTAGGCTATAGCCTACTGAGTAGAAAATAGCTGGTTTAAGCATAATCAGTGAGCTTATTATCACCAGGTTAAAGGAATGATCACATATCAAAGTTAAAATATGATGTGTTTAATTAAGTCCATTCCCAAAACATATGTTAATCATTACAGATGTCTCATCTCTGCGACCACAACTACTCGAGGACCGAGCCCAGCTGCTCCCAGAGCACCACCACCTGTCAGGTAGGCTGCACTCGAAACGTGTATATCGTGTTAGAAAAGTTAGGATTTTTTGCTCATTTGAAGCATTATTTTGAACATGATCTTTAGGGTGTAATATTCTGATACCTGATCATTTTAAATAACTGTAATTACCTGGATCATTATATTCAAACAACAAGTGTATGTCAATGTAGGATTAATTCCTTAAGTCCTACATTGACATACACACAAAACTGTCATGTCATGTTTGGGATATCCAGGCATTCGTGACATGACATGTTACAGTGTGACACATGCTGAAAAGTTTGAACCTATACACCTCGTCAGATAGATATGTGGTCACCAAACAATATTAGACTCTAAAAGTGTTTGTTTGATTAAATCTAGTAAGTGTGTGAGTGAGTTTAAAAGAGGCATATTTGTCTTTAGTGTGTACTGTTCTGATACCTGATTTTAAATAACTATAATTGGCTGTATCATCTTAATATATTCAAATAAATGTAGGCCTATGTCAATATAGGGAAATCAACACTCACAAAACTGTAATTTCATCTTTGGGACATCTAGCCATTCATGACATGACATGTTACAGTGTAACACATGCTGCACATTTCAACCTATGCACCTTGTCAGATAGTTGATCCCTAAACAAGAGTCAACTCTAAAAGTGTCTTTTTGATCTAGTAAGTGTGTGAGTGAGTTTAAAAGAGAGGACAATTGTAAAAGAGTTTTATGCTCAGCAAAACTGCATTTTTATAACATTTTATTTCAATAAAACCGAGTGATCAAAACCTGTTTTGACACTTTTCTTAAACAACAAAAGGTTTTGAAGATGTGGACATTGTTCGCAAACCCCTTTTAAACTAAAATCATAAAATGGAAACAAGTTCCCCCTGCTGGGGACATGGGGGAGGCAAATTGTGTCCCATCGTGGGACGAACAGAGGCCTACAGTTCCTGAAAAGATGTCTTCACCCGTGAAGACTGAAGTCTCTGTGGAAGTGAGGGACAAATGTCTCCTGGGTCAGCACATATGTACTAAAGGTAGGACTGTCATCATCAACACTCAAGAGAGAACATTAAGCCCGACCCGTGTCTCCCCCTGCGGTCCA